TGTTTTCCCCCCCCCAACCCCTTTTTTGGCCTTTTTTTTTTTTTTTTTTTTTTGCAAGAGGCAGCTCGGTGAGGCCAGGTCCAAACTTTTCCCTTGGGAAATGCCAGCGCTGCCGTTCAGTCCAGCTTGGAAAACAGGAACCGCGAGGTGCCGAACTCGGGGCTCCGCGGGTGACCTTTTTTATGAGGCTTTTCCCAGCGGGATGGCCGGTCGGCATGGAAGGATGTGACTTCAGCCCGCGTCCGTCCATCCATCCGCCCGGCCCCGGCCGCATCCTGATCCACCGCAAGCAAAAAAACCTCCTATATGACATTAAAAAAACATTTGCTAGTACACAGGGAGCAGGTGAGCGGCGCCGCCTCTTGCTTGCGGCGCTGGAGCAACTCGACGGCCGGTGTTTTCCCAGAGTTTTCCGGCGTGGCAGAGCGAGGGAGCGCGGCACCACGGGCGCCGAGCGCAGCCTGTGATTTGCTTCTATTCCTAGCAAACCGCGGCGGGCGCCGGCTCAGCTTACAGGGCCCTCTCGGGCTGCTTTTCCAAGCGGACCACACCTTTAGCCGCACAAGAGCGGCCTTATGCGCGCGTGCGCTTCCCCCGCGCGCGCTCCCGGGCAAACAGAGCGCAGCCCCCGGGGCGGCTGCTCCGAGCGGAGACCTGCCGGCTATTTTTAGGCTCCGCGGAGCCCTCGGCACTTCCTGCCTCGCAGGAAGGAAACATCCCCCCGGGAAATGTCCCACCGGGAGCCGGCCGGGCCGCCGCGTGCTCCCGCGCTCTTGGGCGCGGATGGGGCAGGAGGGATGCAAGGAGGAAAGGCCCCATGGAGCGTCCAGGCAGAAGGAAAAGTCCCTTCCCAGCGGGAACCGCGATGGCAAAGCCGGGCCCGAAACGCCAGCGTCGCGGTTGCCGCCTCTCCGTCCATCCATCCATCCTGCCAGCCGGCTGCGGGATGCGCTCGGCGCACTGTGGAGCCACGCTGGGCCGGGGAGGCTCCGTCCGTGTCGGCAAAGCAAGGGGCGAAGCCGCCGCGCAGCGTTCCCGAGCCAGCGGCACCGGCGCGCGGAGCAGACGCGG